GAAAGACAACCAACGGGCATGCATGAGGCTAATGGTTTTTTGAGTGTGTAAAAATTTTAAGGAAAAATGATCCGTAAACAAAACAAATTCCTTAAGAGGTAATGTTCCCATTGTTTCAATGCTCGAACTAAAGCATAAAGTTCTTGCTCATATGTGCTCCATTTTTGTCGGGATGGGCTAAGTTTCTCACTAAAGTACTCTAAAGGATGATTATTTTGGGATAAACGGCTCGTATTTGAAGCCAATGTCGCACATGTCGTTACTGATAGTGCTTCAGCAAATGTAATGGCGGGTAAGAAATCAAATTCCTTGCTCCTGTTCAAATTAGTATCATGTTAAGTTAAACATTTCAGGTAGGCTAACTAATATAATATGTTATCTTCTTATTTTATTTTGTTACTAGGGAGATTATTAGAAGCAAGATGACCAAATTTATTTTGGTCACCATGTGCTGCTCATTGCTTGGACTTGATGTTGGAGGACATATTCAATATCCCAAATATCTGTAACACATTGAAAAGAGGCATGGAGATCAGTAATTTTATTTATATTCGCCCAGGATTGTTAAATATGATGAGGCAATTTACGAATCAGAAAGAGTTAGTTAGGCTAGCTAAGACTCGCTTTGCCACAGCTTGCATAACATTATCAAGCATACATCGTCAAAAAAATAACTTGAGGAAGATGTTTACTTCTCATGAATGGAAAAATAGCAAATGGAGCAAGGAACAACAAGGCAAGCGAGTTGTTCAGACAATATTGATGGCATCATTCTGGAATACAATTGTATTTGCTCTTAAAATATCGGGCCCTTTAGTTTGAGTGCTTAGATTGGTGGATGGTGAGAAGAAGCCTCCTATGAGATATATTTATGAGGCCATGGATAGAGCTAAGGAGGCCATTGCTAAATCTTTTAATGGTAAGGAAGACAAATACAAGGACGTTTTCCAAATCATCGATCAGAGATGGGATCTTCAGTTGCACTGTCCTTTACATGCAGCAGGATATTATTTAAATCCAGAATTCTTCTATTCAAATCCGAACATTACAGAAGATGATTGAAGTTGTTAATGGGATGTATGCATGTGTCACAAGAATGGTCCCTTCTAAGAAATACAAGACAAGATAATTCAGGAGTTGACCAAGTACAAGAACGCTGAAGGGATATTCGGACAACCCATGGCGGTTAGACAAAGAAATAAAAGATCTCCAGGTAATATTTAATGGTACTAATTTATGATGTTTGGTTCATTACTCGGTTGAAAGTTATTAACATAGTTTAGTTCAATTTAATAGTGGAATGGTGGGATGATTTTGGAGTATCAACTCCAAACTTGAGGAAGTTTGCTATGAGAATTCTAGGTCTTACTTGTAGTGCATTTGGATGTGAACGAAATTGGAGTGTTTTTGAACAAGTTAGTTCTTTATGACACTGAGAAATATATTTTTAACTTCTTGATTAGAAACTTAAAAGTATTGTTGTAGAACCTTTTTCTTTTATACTTTGCAGCTTCATTGAAAAAGAAGGAATAAACTTGCACAACGTCGTCTAAATGATTTGGTCTTCATAAAGTATAATAGAGCATTGAAACGACGACATAACATGCGGAACACAATCGACCCTATCTCTTTAAAGGATATCGATAATAGTAATGAGTGGTTGACAGGGAGAATGGATAGTGATTCTGAAGAGGATAATGATCTTGTCTTTGGTGAAGACTCCTTAACATGGGGTGATGTTTCGAGAGCTGCGGGAGTAGAAGAACTTGCCTATCATTCTAGAGCAAGTACGTCAAGGTCAAGAAGTAGGACTATGACTGGAGCTTCAAGTGCTTCTCAATCCACACAACCCACACCCATACAATTGATTAATGATGAAGATTACATCGAGGAGGAAGATGCAGATGGCTACAAGTCTAATGATGAAGAGAACGAAAATGATGAAATTAAAGGACTATTTAGTGATGATGAGTTTGATCTTTAGATTTTCATTTTGAACTATCATACTTATACTAGTTTAGGATCATTTTCATGTTTTTGTGGACAATTGATTCTTTATGCTAAGATCTATGATGTTTTCTAATCTTGTTTGGTTTTTATATGTTTTATATGTGTGTATATATATTTTTTATTTGTTTTTATATATAGTGTGCCTCGCATAAAAAAACCCGCGCTTTTTTTTGCGCCTCGTGCTTAAGCTCCAGAGGTCTATTGAGCTTTTGTGCGCTTCGAGCTTTTTAAATCACTGACTTGACCTGTTAACTGAAACAGGAAAGTTAGTTGCTAAGCCACGTAATACCCCAATGATACCTAATTTACAATTTACAAAGGAAGGAGAGTTGTTGAAAGATCCTGAGAAGTATAGGAGATTAGTAGGGAAGCTGAATTACCTTACAGTTACGAGGCCAGACATAGCTTATCTAGTCAGTATTATGAGTCAGTTTATAAGTTCTACTACGACTGACCATTGGACCGCATTGGAACATATTCTATGTTATTTGAAAGGTGCTTCTGGACGTGGTTTGTTATATAAAGATCATGGTCATCTTAATATTGAATGTTTTTCAGATGTTGATTGGGCAGGTTCTAAGGAAGATAGTAGATCAACCTCAAGATATTGTGTATTTGTCGGAGGTAATTTAGTTTCTTGGAAAAGTAAGAAACAAAACGTGGTGTCGCGTTCGAGTGCTGAATCAAAATAGAGCTATGACACATTCGGTGTGTGAATTAGTATGGATATATCAGCTTCTGACTGAATTGGGATTTGGTATCACCACTCCAATGAAATTTTGGTGTGATAATCAAGCAGCTCTCCATATTGCATCTAATCCTGTATTTCATGAACGAACTAAACACATTGAAGTTGATTGTCATTATGTACGTGAGAAAATACAGCAAGGATTAGTAGCTACAGGATATGTGAAGACTGAAGAGTAGTTAGGAGATATCTTTACTAAAGCATTGACTGGTGCACGAGCTACAGAATATGTGTTGACTGGAGAGTAGTTAGGAGATATCTTTACTAAAGCATTGAATGGAGCACGAATAGATTGTCTGTCTAACAAGCTGGGCATGATTAACATATATGCACCAACTTGAGGGGGAGTGTTAGAGTATATATTAGTATATTTTATATTCTTGTATTAATATTAATTTGTCCTTTACCTTCTCCTTATAGGATTAGGTCAACCTTGTATATTTATCTATATATATAGACTTTAATAATGAGAATACATCACATTGGATTCTCTTCAACCTTAGTCTCTATAATTATTAAAGTCTATATATATAGACAAATATACAAGGTTGACCTAATTTTATAAGAACGTAAATGACAAATTAATACATATCATACAAGAATATAAAAATATACGAATATCTACTCTAACAATTCCTATTCGGGTTAGGGCACCTACCGAACCTTTCTCCTTCAGAGGCAAGTAGCTCCTCCTCCTCGTCGCTAGAAGAATCAAAATTGATTTCATTTCACCGTTGAAATAGAGGATTCCAGTTGACTTATTGATGAATAAGGTGCAGTTCTTGAAGGTTTCTTGGACCCAAACGGACTGCTTGTGGTCTTCTTGGTGGGATCACTTGTCTTTCTTGCTGATAAGTCGTCCTACAACCCTCCATCCCCACTTCTTGATTCATTATTTCTTGCTACAGTAGGGTGCTTCTAACCAGAGATTGCTGTACACTCATGGCTTCAAGCTTCTCACGTATAATCTCCAAGATCTGTTTAATCTCGTTGACGTCCTGCTGGATGGTCTTCACCTCTCCTTCAACTGACAACAAGTGTGCGGTTGACGATCGTGGCGAGAGAATGGATACTTACTCCATTTCTTTGTTGACGAGAGTAGAGTCACCGGTGTTGATTGACTTCTTTCCCGCCATAACAACCCAGAAAAATGTGATGCTCTGATACCAACTTGATGTACAAAAGAGGGGAAGGTTTCTTGAAGGAAAATGATGATCCTTTATTAATGAAAAACCAGCCGCTATTTATAGAGCTAGTTGGGCCTTTAACTACACGGTAAGTGTAACACTAAGTTACCTTTATAAAACAAACTAATAACCTAACAACATAACCAATTGATCACAACTAACATTTTAACTACATCAACTTGTACGTATGGAAGGAGGAGGAATACTGCCACCGCAGTTTCATGCAACTAGCAATAAGTTCAGAGACTCTTCTTCAACTCCATCTTTTCTTCTTTTTTTTCTTATTCAAATTTCCTTTTTATACTTCTTCTCTTCTATCTTTTCTTTTACTCTTTCCAACTCTTTTTCTTCCCCTCTTCCAACTGTTTTTCTTTCAAACTCTTCTTCCTCACCCCACACTTCCTCTTCTTTATTTTTCTTTGTTTTCTTCCAATTCTTCTTATTCATGAGTAAAGGCGGGTAGTAGTGGTGGTGGTGGTGAAGGCAAGCAATGGTGGTTGTAGCGAATGCAGGAGATGCCTTCAATTTTGTCTTCGTGCTTCAACTTCTTTGGGCATGCAGGCCAATTAGGTCTTTTGCCATTTAGTTTTTTACTTTATTATGGGGTTTTTTCATTTAAAAATGAAAGTTTTATAGGCTTTAAATGTCGGCTGGGCTGGATCTTATCTTTTGGTTTAAAATTTTAACCAATGTGTCCAATACGTGTCAGGTGTGTCCAAGGTGTGTCTGAAACTAGAAAAAAAAAAAGAAAATAAAAATAGGCATGTAAATTGGCGTGTCAGACACACGTCCGAAGCGTGTCCGGACGTATCCGTGTTTGACAGGGACACCTTGCCTAAAATGGAGTGTCCCTACTTCATAGTTTGTAACTTTTCAGTTTTCGAATCCTAGTGGAAAATTTTGTTTTTGGCGAGAAGAAAAGGAAGAAATATGAATTACATAGAAAGTAACATTATAATATAAGCAACCCATATATGATACAATAATTGCTTAAAATCCAACCAAAATCTAACCGACCAAATTAAATGACTTGTTGGTTTATAAAACTTTGGCAGCTACCTGAATCTATGAAGCAGAGTCAAGCTGACTTATATTTAGAAACATATCAAGTTTTGGACTTGGAAATGAGTCGTCTACGTGAGATCCAGAGATGGCAGGCATCAGCTGCATCAAAGGTATTGCTTTTAGGGAATTGTTCTATTACTATTGATTTTTTTTACCCATTTATATAAGTTCTTTTTTATGCAGCTTGCTGCCGATATGCAACGCTTCTCAAGACCCGAGAGGCGCATCAATGGCCCAACAGTTACTCATCTCTGGTCTGTTATTATTTGGGTGTTAATTTAGGCAACTTAGGAAGTTTAAATTAAAGCTCCTGTAACATATAATTAGACTCTCACTCATCCCCAGTGTCGGGAAATTTAATTTTCTGCCACTTCCATTATTTCTGACAAAACTTTTCCGCCTTAGGTCAATGCTGAAATTGCTTGATGTATTAGTTCAACTTGATCATCTTAAAAATGCCAAGGCAAGCATACCCAATGACTTCTCTTGGTATAAAAGGTAAGAGAAAATTTTATTTTCTTTATTTTTTAAAAAATATTTGTCTGTAAGATTTGGTGAATGGTAATTTTTTTCCCTAAAAAGGCCATTTGAATCTAAAAGGGAAAATTTGATTTTGTATGAGTTCGTCAACATTTTAGCTCCTTTCTCAAGCTGTATGCCTTGTTTCACCCCTTTTTTTTACCTACAAGAAACGTAAACCTTGATTGAGATTTGAAAGTTACAAACTATTTGAAAGTTACAAACTTACTAACTATTTGAAAGTTACAAACAAAATAGAGTAGCAAAAGAGACCATCCCAACTGTAGGCTAACATATGTATGTCTAGTTTTTACTGTAAGAATAGTGTCAATTAAAATTTCTTTTTGATAATAAACAGAGATATATATTCAACAAAAAGAACAAAGAAAGGGAGAGACATCCTAAGGGCTGAGTAAGAGAGAACCTCGCGAGAACTACAAAATGAGAGCCTTCCAAGTTTTTACCTAAGAGAGGTTGTACAAAGCGGAATGAGAGTTTCCTCATCTTAATGTTGTATAAGGACTAAAATATAATAAAGAAAATAGGATAATAGGTAGGTATACTATCTTCTCTTTCCTTCCTTAGGTTCTCGGTTTGCTAGAGCCAATTCCTCAAATTTGATTATGGAGTATTCTTCTGGTTTAGTTTTGTATATCCTGGATTGCTTTTAATCAAGTACACGAGTGGTAGATTTTTTTAGAAGATGGAAATTAGGAGTTGTCGTATTGATAATAAGTTCTTCTTGCAGTTGGGATAAAACTGGGATGAAAATGATAGTTTTATGCTGGAGGATGTGAATAGGAAAACGCTGGTGCCTCTCCATCCTTTCCAACTCTTATGGTCTGAGGATCATTTGGTTAGGTTATTACAAGTTACGTTCATGTTAGGTACTATTACCAGATTAGGAATGCATTTGGTACCTATAGCATTAGAAAATTTAGTAATAATAAGTCGTTTGGAATGTGTTGTATGGCCTACCATTGGGGGGAGGAAGAATGTCTTGATTCCGGATGGTTATAATAAGAATGGTTGGTCAAAGTTTCCCAGTGGTATTCTTTATCGGATTCCTTTTCAAATTATTCGCCTATTCTTATTTCTAACAATAGGGGAACCTTTATTTCACCTTCTGTTGTTTTTTAAACCTTTTGTCAAGGACAACGGTATCACTCGTACCCAATGCATCTCCACAATGGATAAGAAAACACTTACTCATTAGAACAAGGAAACCTAACCTAAATACAATAGGAAATTAAAAGAAACTAATATAATTTAACACTCCCCCTTTCCATTCCCAGCTTGCTAACCAAATGCTAAAAGTTGTAGTTGTTCAATCCTTTAGTTAGGATATCTGCTATTTGATAAGTTGTTGGTACAAATGGAGTACATATGAGACCGCTGTCTAACTTCTCTTTTATGAAGTGTCTATCAACCTCAACATGTTTGGTTCTATCATGTTAAACTGGATTATGTGCAATACTGATGGCGGATTTATTATCACAGTAAGTTTCATAGGCATTTTTCATGGAATCTTCAAATCTTCTAAAATAATTTTTATCCATAGTAATTCGCAGATGCCAATGCCGTTGCTCTAAATTCCGCTTCTGAGCTCGATCTTGCAACTACATTTTGTTTTTTACTTCTCCATGTCACTAAGTTTCCACCAAAGAAAGTACAATAGCCAGAAGTAGATTTTCTATCGTCTATCGATCCTGCATAATCTGCATCTGTATAAACTTCTAGATTGAGTTTCTCATCTTTCTTAAACAGCAATCCTCTCCCGATGTAGTTTTTCAAATAGTGAAGTATTCGGTACGTTGCTTGGAGATGAACTTCTTTTGGACTATGCATAAATTGACTTACCACTCCTACCGCATATGTAATATATATCTGATCTCGTATGAGAAAGATATATTAATTTTCCAACAACCCTCTAGTGAGTTTCCTTATTTACTGGAGGACTCTCTTCAGATGCACATGATCTATGGTTTTGATCGATCGGCATTCCTATTGGTTTGCTGCCAAGCTTTCCTGTTTCAGAAAGTGAGTCAATCACATATTTCTGTTGTGATAAGAATATGCCTTGTTTAGAATAGACTACTTCTATCCCAAGAAAATATTTCAGTCTTCCCAGTTCTTTAACTTCAAACTCTTGGATTAAACAATTTCTCAATTTATCTTGCTCATTATTATCATTGCCAGTTACGATAATATCGTCCACATAAACAATCAACGCTGTTACTTCCCCTGTAGCAGAATGTTTTATAAACAATGTATGATCTCCTTGACTTTGTTTATAGTCCATCTTCCTCATAACTTGAGAAAATCTACCAAACCATGCCCTAGGAGATTGTTTTAATCCATACAACGCCTTTCTTAATTTACAAACTTTATTTCCTGCTTGTTTATACCTAGGTGGAATCTCCATATAAATTTCTTCTTCAAGATCACCATGCAAAAAAACATTTTTTACATCATATTGTAACATGTCTCATCGATGATTTACAGCAAGAAATAGAAGTACTCGTACTGTGTTCATCTTGGCAACGGGTGCAAAGGTTTCAAGGTAATCAACCCCATATGTTTGAGTATATCCTTTAGCAACCAACCGTGCTTTGTACCTCTCAAGTGTTCCATCTGCTCTATACTTCACCGTATATATCATCGACATCCTACAGCTTTCTTATCTTTAGGCATAGTAACCAGCTTCCACGTTCTATTCTTTTCTAAAGCCTGCATTTCAAGATTCATTGCTTGCCTCCATTCTTCATGTTGTAAAAACTAAGGATAGAGACACCAGAGAGACATATACGAGAAAAGAGAGAAGAAATAAATTCTCAAATTGATTGATCAAAGATAAGGAATAGAGGCACTATTTTGAGGGGGATTGTGAGGACATATCAGATTTGCGGATAGATAGTGAGTAAGATTGCTAGTGGAGTGTTAAATTTCAGAACACGAGAGGGCATCCGATTAATGAGATAACAAACAGTAAGGACAGCATCACCCCAAAAATGGTTAGGAACAGAATTGGTGAACATGAGAGCACGGGCAGTTTCTAAAAGATGCTTATTTTCCTTTCAGCAATACCATTTTGTTGGGGGGTAATGACACAGGAAATTTGGTGAATGATTCCATTTTGAGACATTAAAATATTTTGTCATTTTATCTGTGCAAAGAATTTTGATTCTCGTATTAAATTGATTATGAATGAGAGAATGAAACTGTTGAAAGATTGATGTAGTTTCTAATTTTTCTTTAAGTAAATAGACCCAACAAACCCTATTTAGTTATTTACGAATGTTTTGAAAGGAAAATGAATTTTGAAAATTTGATATGGAAATTGCTTATTGAGTATTTTTGTACTCATATTTGTTTTCCTAAATGTTTTTCAGATGAAAGATTGAATGATCGTTCTGGTAGAAGGTGAAATTTAGCATACTGGCATGAGTTTGAAAGTCATCTTCCTATTTAGTTAAGTTAGTGTAGAAAAATTCTGTAAAGAAATTGCTTCCGCTGAATAACTTTCATTCTTAAGGTTTCTTGAAAGTTACGTTTCCGCATTTTGTCAGAATGACCCTATTAACAATACGGGTTGTTACAAATCACCAAAAACTAAGCCTCAATGCTGCTTCAGAAAACCTCCAAATATAAAACACCATATGCTAAAGCTCTTATTCAATTTGAACATAATTTTTGTGGGGTTCTTCTTGCTTCGGTTGATATCAAAGATCCAAAGCTTGGCTCCTTCATGATTAGAGTTTCAGCACCAAAGTACGAAAGCCAAAATCTTTCATAAAATGGATTCCTATTCGAAGAGTGCATGAACAAAAATCGGGGCTGAGACGTTCTTTGAAAAAATTTCTCTCTTCAAAGCTTTTAGTGGATTATGTGTTTATAAATTATATATATATATATATGTAGATATGTGTATATATGTGTATTGTTTATTTATATATGCACTTAAAAAGAAAAGCCCTCAGGTTTTTTTTTTATTATTATTATTATTTTTTGCCTTGGGATTAAGGCCTAAAGGTTAGATTTTATGGAATGGTCTGATATTATTAGAAGCTTTTGGCTAATAATAAAGAAGTAACTTTTTCTTAGTCATTTTCTGTTCTTTCTTCAGGACGTTCACACAAGTCAGTATTCAGTGGCAAGACTCTGATTCAATGAGAGAAGAATTAGATGACTTACAGGTTCTTGGTAGTTACCCCTAAAATTTTATGTTGTATATGTGAACAATGGCTGTAGGATCTAAATATTTTCAATTTCATGAGCCATATTCTTTAGTTATTTATGAAGTACTGCTTCTTTAACCTGGCACTATAATATCATGCATCCTTTTAACACTCTTTGTTTTCTCCCTCCCTGTATCTTTTGCTATCTATTTTGCAACAGATTTTCTTAAGCACTAGATGGGCCATTTTACTGAATCTACACGTTGAGATGTTTCGTGTAAATAAGTATCCTCACTCTTAGATGTCTATGCCAAATTGAGAGGATTTAATTCGTCCCAGGGCTCTAAATTTTGTATTAGTTCATTTGTCTTTGAAGTTTTACAAAAGTTGCATTAGTACTTTGATCACATATTTCTTCATAACACATGAAAAATATGTTCCTTTCGTCTTCTTAGACTTCCTTGACATGAAATAGTGTAGAAGACATTCTTCAGATCCTCATTGTATTTGCTGTGGAGTCCTTGGAGTTGGATTTTGCTCTTCTATATCCAGAGAGGCACGTGCTTTTACGTATTCTGCCTGTTCTTGTTGTATTAGCAACATCATCAGAGAAAGACAGTGAATCTCTTTATAAGAGGGTGAAGATCAACAGACTCATTAACATCTTTAAGGTATTATAGTCTCCAGAATGATAATCAAATCATTGATTTGGTATTACTATATTTTGAAAAAGATACGAACTTTTATCTATGTAAAGGGAAAAAAATTGTACAAAAATACGAACTCCCAAGGGAGTGAAAGAAAAGCAAATACAAGAATGATCGGGTCTATCATGTCTTTTTTATTCTACTTACTGATTATATTTCAGCTACAATATCTTTTTTATATCTTTCCAGAATGATCCGGTGATTCCAGCATTTCCAGATCTTCATCTTTCTCCAGCAGCAATTTTGAAAGAGTTGTCAATATACTTCCAAAAATTTTCTGCCCAAGCTCGTCTTCTTACTCTTCCAGCTCCACATGAGCTTCCACCACGTGAAGCACAAGAATATCCTGTTCTATTTGTCGTACTTAGTGTTTACTCTTTCTCTACTGGGCATGAAACATCTGGTAACTTTGATTTAAACAAGAAAATATCTTAAAACTTGATTAATTTTGGTCACCACTCCCTTGCCAATATTTTGTGGTTGACAGTTTATCATATAGGAATTATTATTATAACTTTTTGACCATCATTTTCTTTCCAGGATCTAAGATTTGAGAAAGTTTTGTGATTGCCCTAGTGACCAAATTGAGAAATGTTTAGTGCATTTCACATCTAATCATGTGCCAACAGCAAAACAAATGACATATGAGATCGTTATTATTATTTTTAATCTATTTATATGTTAATGAGCTTGCCAACCTTTAAAGCTTACCCACATCAAGGTCTTTCCTTGCACTTATTAACCAATGTCCAAGCCCATTAACAATCAATGTGGGATAACCCACCAATCTTTCCCTCATACATAAAGTCCGGGGTTGGATTTTTACTATAAGTCCAATGACTGCTGGGTGGAGTTGTTAAGATTAGAATTTGAACCAATTTTTGGTGTTAAATAGGCATTTCCACCTAAAAAAGTGGCGAAGGATAGAGGACCTCTGGTATGCTTATTAAACAACCTCCAATTCTTTCTCTGCGGGATAACCCAAGACAACCTTGCTTTTCTCTTATCTGCCTACACTTTTCAATTCTTATCTTAAGAGAAAAGCTCCAGTTTGGAAAAGGCTCTTAAAGACAGTTTTGTTGGTCTCTCTCCCCCTTTCGCTCACATTACCCTTCTCCTGCATGTATAGTTGTTTTTTCGTTAGACAAGCTGTTGCGGTAACAACAATGACTGAGCTGTTTCAGTTTCTGTTTCTTTTTCTTGGTTACTCGTGATGGAGACGAGTGTAACATGAAACTGCTGCTGTTGATATTTTTCTAGCTTCTCGATCCTCAGCCTTTTGTTATAATTAGTTCTGAACTTAGAATATTTTATCTGAAGAGTGATAGTTAACCTGAGTATACCGTTGAGATGAAAATACACTGAAGTAACTAGATATGACAAACAACATAATATAACCTAGCTGACGAAATGATTGTTTTTTCGACATGATTTACACTCCTTAGGAATAAGTCATCCCTCAAATTCCTCCAGAGAATAAGCTCTACTCATCAAACAGTATGCATGCACCTTTCTTAAAATGTGATGAAATGCTAACGTAAAAAATAATTTGCACATGGTAAAGCCTTGACAACTGTCAACATATCAGAGACATTACCTTATCATCAACCACATTGGAGCCATCCACGCAGAGCATGATGATTTCACCATTCGGTTTGCATCATCAATGAATCAGGTTCTTCTTTTCTTTTTTTTCTTTTTCTTTTTTGTCTTACTTCTGGCCTCTTAACCTCTCCCAAATGTAATGTCTTCCGGGTCCAGGCCTTAGGGCAAGCACGTGTGCTCTTGGGTATAGGAAAGCAAAACTCCGACTCCTAGTTATCAAGAAAAAAAGTATTTTTTTTTCTTTTTGAACAAGAAATGAACTTTTCATTGATTTAATGAAAAGGAATAGAAAATTGTTCAATGATACAAACCCCCGAAGGAGAGAAAATAAACAAAATGGAAAATAGAACAACAAACTAAGTGAAAAGAACAAAAGCTAAGGGGGAGTTATAAAAACCTCCCGATTAGAACAAATCATACTCGAAGAGTAATTAACAAAAACATTGGAAAGAGCACACCATTGAGAAGCCTTAAACTTTGCTAGTAGGAAAACTTCAACCGGATCTCGATGTTTCCCCTTGAAAAGCCTTTGATTTCTCTCGAACCAAATATCAAACAACAAAGCTTTGAGTCCATTACACCAAAGAAGACCCGCTTTTGACGCGAGACACGGGCCAATCAACAGAGAATGAACGTTCTTTGCGACTTCGAAATCAAAAACCCAAGAAACCTCGAAGATTTCGAAGAAAAGCCTCTAGCAAGTGGCCGAAAAAGAGCACCGAAAGAAAATATGTTGCTGGAACTCACAAGACTTGCCATACAGAGAACAAAGTGTTGAGTAGCCTTCTTCTTCTTCTTCTCTCTTTCTCTCTCTCTCTCTCTCTTTTTTCCTTGAGAAATGAGAACTTGATATAATGAAAAGGGAAATAAGAACTCTAAAAATAGTAATCAGAGAATATAAAAGGTTCCCAATTTAAGCAGATGTCTTCGTGATTAGTCGAGGTGCGCGTAAGCTGGCCTGGACACACGGATTTCAAAAAAAAAAAAAAAAAATTTAAGCAGATGTCTTTTGAATTATATCCCAAAAATGAATTCGGGCAAGGCTCGTATAGAAAGTATATCAAATCGGTTCGAAGCACAACTATGCTTTGAAAGATTCCACGAGTTTGTATCCTTGAACATTTCTTGTATCTTTTCATTAATGAATGAAAAGTTTGTTTCTTCCAAAATTTTGTTTGGTAGTAAAGAAAATTTTAAAAAGTGATTATAAAGCAGCAAGAGGGTAAGGTATTCTCCTGTTAGAAATACTATTATGAGACTAGAGCCAAGTAGTGGTATCAAGATAAGTTACTCCCCATGTTTTTCCTTTTTAACAAGAAACAAACTTTTCATTCGTATATTAGTCATTATAAAGCAGCAAGAGGATAAGGTATTCTCCAACTAGCTTCTTGAATTTGCCAAAGTGAGCATGGCTCAGTTGTAATTGACATATATCTCCAACCAAGAGGTTGTGAGTTCGATCACCCATCCTCACATGTTTTTTCTCTTTTGAGCTTGTATTGCTCTTGTTGCGATATTTATTCGTTATTTTTCTATTCTTCTCTCTTTTCTTTTCTTTTTTCACCCCCTTGGGGGTTTTGTACTTGAACATTTTTCCTTTTCATATATCAATGAAAAGTTGTTTTTTGTTCAAAAAGGAAAAAAAAAAAACCCTACAACCACCATACAGGCATAATAATAATTAAAAATAACTGAATAGAGAAATTTGATGAGAAAGTTCTCAAAGTTCCCTATTTTACAAATTATGTTTCTGGCTGTACTTAAATCTGGACTCATCCTCGAATATGCAGCTGCTGCTGTTGAAATCAACAGAGAATCCAGATATTGAGTGGTGCAAAGATGTTAAGGGGAACATGTACGACATGGTGGTTGAAGGTTTTCAACTCTTGAGCAGATGGACTGCACGTATTTGGGAACAATGTGCATGGAAATTCTCTCGTCCATGCAAAGATGTTATTTCCTTGGAATCTCATGAAACTTCATCATTCTCAGACTATGAAAAGGTGAATTTTCATCTTAGCAATAATAGTTATCCAGATAGTATATGTACTATTTGGCTAGTTTGTAGACCTTAATTTGTCTTTAGATTATTTCATTTTCATTTGACCTAGATTGTTCGTATTTCTTGCATCCTGATCTTCATTTTCCTACATTTTTATCTCATTCTGTTTCACTTTTGTTTTGTATTTGAACCTAATTGGTCTTAATATTTCCTTCTCAAATTATCAGTAGTGTTGGCAAGATCAGCATCCTTGACTTTCAGGGATGCTAACATCATTCTAATATGTATTCTCTATTAATCCTAATTTTATTATAAATCCATCTTTTTCTCCGTCTCTCTCTTATATTTGTTTCTTTGGGGTGTTCTAGGCTCGTTTCTTATGAAAATAATATTGAAGACCCAATAATTAGAAAAAGAGTACAAGAATTCAAGTTTATTCCATCGAAGTGCTAACGGGAGGAAAACAAGGAAACGTGTAAATTAGTTTATTTTCAAAGATGGTCTAGTGACTTATTTTGAAAAAATGAGAGATAACCAACTTCCTTCAAAATGTTTTTTTTTTTAATTTTTTTTATAAGAAAGCAAACTTTTCATTAAGATAAATAAATAGAAAATATATACAAGGGCATACAAAAAACAAAAGTCCAGAAAGAGGAGTGCTGCCTAAAGAAAGAGCTTCCCGTCCAAAAGAATAGAACCTAACTGGTAATTACAAAACAAATTTGAAACAGAACCCCATAAGAAGACATTAAGCCTAATGAGATCCTAAACAGACTCTCAATCTCTCTCCACCCATCTAAAGATTTTCTGTTGTTTCTTTCCAACCAAATCCCCCACAAAATCGCAAAGAAACAGATTTGCCACAAAAACCTCCCTTTCTCGCGGAAAGGAGAATACAAAAGCACTTCCACCGCCATAGTCCTCCAATCTCTATCACGAACCCAAGAAACCTCGAAGGTCTCAAAGAACCGGTCCCAAATATCCTGGGCGAACTGGCAATGCCATAAGATGTGATCAAGATCCTCAGAATTCTGCATGCAAAGAACACTCCATTGCAACTCCAAGCAGGAAGTAGAGTGCTTTTGAATACGATCTAGGGTGTTGACTTTCCCAGTAAGACCTGGCATACGAAAAACTTAATCTTTTTTTGGAATTTTCACCTTCCAAAGCGAGACAAACACTGGGGCTGCAGGGGGAGAATCAGGGGAACATAGAAGATTGAAGAAGGAGCTCAAGGAGAAACCTCTAGACGAATTAGGGGACCAAGCACGGAAGTCCTTCCTATCATGAAAGAAAGAAATATCAGAGAGCAAACGGAGCAATTTAGCCGCTTCTCAAGCATCTCTGTCAATCAAAGACCAACTGAGGCCTAAGGAAATACACAACCCTTCACCCCAGCACCAAGGCCACCAAAAGCAACCTCCAATCCGATAAGCGAAAAAGGCGAGGAAATAAAGAACAAAGACGCTTTTCTCCCACCTAGAGGCCCTACCAGAAATTAGTGTCATGACCATCACCAACAACACAAGACAAAAATTGAGAGAAGAAAGGAAAAGCTGAGGAGATAGCCTTATAGGGGTTATCTGCGCAAACCTTAAGCCCTCCATCTAAGACCCAATCAAGGGGTGCGGCCCATACTTGCTCATGATAATCCTCCGCCATAAGGCACTAGGTTCTTGGAAGAACCGCCAGAACCATTTAGTCAAAAGTGCAATTTCCTTCAAAATGTTGATTATTCATCGATGTGCTTGTTCATATTTGAAGAAGTCATTTCGGACATTTTAAGGAAAAATAATAGCAGTGTTTTAGTTTTCTATTCAAAGTTTGTGAGTTAGCTATGCACCATAGAGCATCTTGGCTGACTCACTATCAATAAAAATAAGTCCAGTTGCTTATTTTTCATTTTTGAGGCCACTTAGGGTCAAAGCCGTTATTTTCTTGATTGTGCTTAGATGAATTGCATTTAATCACATAGACATTATTTTTAGGCGTCTGTGTGTACGTCAATTTATGAAAATTTTCCGTCATTTTAAACAAGAGTCTATTATAGCCATTCGACCCACACCAACTAAACAAGGGTATAATAGTCCTAATAATTTGGAATTGTGTGTTTCTGCTATTCTACTGATTTTATTATATCAGAAAACTAATGAAGAGGCCCGTGCCATGTTCCCTGATTTGTCTTTTGGCTTGATGACTTCCTTATCTTTTGTGTTTTTCTAGGTGGTGAGACATAATTATAGTGCAGATGAAAGGAAAGCTCTTGTTGAGCTGGTTAGCTATATAAAGAGCATTGGGTCAATGATGCAGAAGTGTGATACTCTGGTAGCTGATGCTTTGTGGGAGACAGTACATGCCGAGGTTCAAGATTTTGTTCAAAACACATTAGCCACCATGTTACGAACTACCTTCCGTAAGAAGAAAGAAATTTCAAGGTGGAAATTGTATTCCTGATTTCTTTGATTTTTTTTTTCTTTTTTTTTCTTTTTGAACAAGAAACAAAAATTGTTCAAAGATACAGACTCCTGAAGGAGTGAAGTGCAAACAAAAACAATAAAATTAAAAAAACTTAATGGGGAGTTATAAAAGCCTTCCAATTGGAACAAGTCATGCTTTGGTCCAAAAATGTTTTCACTCATGATAATCGGAAGGACCATAAACATTTGTTAACCAAATCTCATTAGAGTTAGAGAGAGAAATACAAATGCTTAATGAGAAGCACCCTTCCAATACTTCCTTAACGTGTATTCTACTTTCGTCCCACATGATTAATAATCCTCCCGCTGAGCCGCTCGAACCAACTGAGGACCAACCGACATCTTTCGAACTCCAGAGAGCTTTGATTAAGAATTTACCGAACTGCTGCGCCTTGGTTTCCTAAAATATAACAATATCCAGACAATGATTCTTTATAAATTTCTTTATGGTCAACTGCTTCTGTTGTTTACCAAGTCCTCTGATGTTCCAAGATAGTATTTTCATTTTGTTGATGTAGCTGGTATAATGGTAATACCAACTTCTTCAAAAATTGGAGGGATTAATCCGGTCTTTTCAACTTCCTGAAACTCATCAAACAGAGCCTGAAAATCTTATGCAAAAGATTGCTCACATAGCAATTCACTTGAGGAATCTGTTGAATTTGATGTGTGGGAAGAGGCATAACTACTGAGACTAAATTCAGAGCAACTATCTTCAAAAGGGAAGTCTTGTAACGACTCTTGACATACTAAAACTTCATTTGTTGAATTAAACACCCCTTGAGAAAGGTGATTCGTGTTCCCTTCTTCTGAAAAACGATTCATTTCCCCTTCTGGATTAGAAATTCCAGCAATTATTCATGCCTTTCTCCCGTCTCTCTCCTCATTAAAGATTGCTAATAAATTCGAAGGCAATAGCTTATCATTACCGGTGTTAAAAATTTCTCTCTCCTTAATAAAAGTTGGCAATAGATTTGTCTACAATTTAACTCTCGATGTGTGATTTTCGAACCCGTTGGTTTTCCTCCGAGAGTAGAAAAAAGGCAAGGGGGGATTCGACCGTTGGACTCTCGTCGAGGCTTCTAGGACGACCTTTCTGCTTCTGAGGAGAGAGATATTTTAAATGTGGAGACGCATGGTTGCCGCGAAGCCCATTCAGTGGTTGGTTATCATTAATACATAGGGGCTGCATGTCGGCTTTGGGTTTCAAACACTTTCCAGCTGTCTGGGGGAGATCATTAGTACGGGAACTCTTTGGACTGACAGCTGGGCCTTCAGAGAAGTCGGTGCAGCCTTCCGTCTCCCTCCTTTTATAAAAATCAAACCCATTGGAAACTGACTGTTCATCTTCCAAAACAGATTTGATTCATGCAATGTCCAGTAAGTTTGAGAGGCTTTTGAAGCTATCAAGAACAGAGCAAGACGATCGAAAGGGTCTATTGGAATATCGACCATCTGAAACTCTAATAGAGAAAGACCCAAGCTTGGCATCCTTAGTGTCCAATGAAGCAGGCAAAAATCCACAGACATTAGGTTCAACTTTTATACGAGCATTTGAAGCCCAAGCATGATTAACGTGCTGGAAGATATAGTCAATAATCCTCCCAAGTAACTTCAAATGACTTCGAAACATTCCTAAGTCCAGTAGTACAACGGTAGGTCTTTTATAGTGATCCATCCCCCGTAACCATGAATGAGTTTCTTTGTGCTATGAAGCTTTGGATTCCATTTTTGTAACTTCAAATGATAATCCCCAATCTTTCTCCACTTGCTTGAAAGCTCCAAAGAGTTCAAAATTCTATCATCCTCAAAACGCATAATACCTAATAGAGTATAAATTAGTATATTTTACATTCTTTTAAATAATATGTATTCATTTGTCATTTACCTTCCCCTTCTAGGATTAGGTCAACTTTGTATATTTGTCTATATATATAAACTTCAGTAATGAAAATAAGATCTATCTGATTCTCTCAAACCTTAGTTTCTACATGGTATCAGAGCTCTAGGTTTCTTCTAAAATTTTTGTGCCCATTAGGGTTTTGATGCCCATTAGGGTTTTGTGCCCATTAGGGTTTTGTCCCTTAGGGTTTTGTTCATTGCTATCCAACTCAACTCACTACTACCGCCGCCGCCGCTGCCCACCGCCGCCGACCATTGTAGCCGCCGCCCACCGCCGCCGCCGTTTGCTGATTCGCTAGCGCTGCTGTTTTCCGATTGCTATTCGTTGGTTTCGTCTCGCCG